ATATTCTCGCATTTCGGGTTTGGAAACAGCTCTATGTGTATATGAGGTGGAGGACGATTTTGGGCGGCACTGTATCTTTTTCCAAAGCTTCTAGCAATTGCGATGGATGTGTCAACCGACGGAGACCTCTTAAGACGGATAAATGTTTTGAGTAAGTCATCCAAAGTACATTGGATGTCTTGGGAAACCCGGTACTAAAGCTTTGATATCCATGCTAGGAACCCCACAAATTTTGAGATTAAGCTTTATGTCGTTGTTAATCTTCCCTTCTTCAGAGGACAGTGCCCCAGTGTTTGGACAAGGTCCTAAGTGAATAGTAATATTTTTAAAATCTGCTGATAAGGATATTATCAATGAAGCATCCATTGCTTGTTTAGTAGCACTAGTAGGGGGGTCCTTGGATTAAAATTTTTGGAATGTATCTGTTGTATTTGGGAAGATGTTCTTGCCGGAGATACCCATATTTATAGGTATGAATTGCCTAGAGAAAAGTTGGAAAGAGATAATTAGACGAATAATAAGCTATTTCCAAACATAGCCCAAAGATTAATAGAGGACCAAAAAAAAAGGAAAGAAGGAAAAAAAGGCAAAAGAAAGAAATAAAAGAGGAGAAGAGGAGAGTGGGATACAGGAAAAGAATCTCCCTATTCCTTCTCACATATACAATCGGCCCATGGGCTATACAGTTATCCCAGCCCCTAAACACCTCGAGTTCATACTCATTGCTGCTCACCTCACGATCTTGATCTGGCCCGGTGCAAGGTTATCTGGTAGATGGGTTCTTTTTGTGACGCAGGAACCCCATCAAATATGTGAGTACTCTAAGCCATTCAAAAATGGCATCAAACAAAGCGAAAAGAGATAAAATAGTCTATTAGTACTCCTTATAGAACTCAGTCAATAATATACGGTTTTCTTCTCTTCCATCTTAACTAGTTGACAGACTGTCTAGCCTGTATAGTGGTCCTTTTTACACTTCACCAGCAAGTTGGATATGCTTTGGTCCCGTTATCAGGAGCTTAGATGAACCACCTCATTGGGAACCTGTTGAGGAGGAAGCGTAACTTTGATAAGATATCAAAACTACGGACAGATAACACATTGCTAAGGGTATTTTAGATTGATATGTGTATTGCATACCCTGTAAAGTTTGTATTGAACGGTTGACTATACTTGCTAAAGGCCATCAATTTAAAGCACCGGCCCAATTTAGTAGCTTAATAGCGTGTCTAAATCCGAGCAGTTTGTCATAAATAGAGTGACGGGCAAAAACCAGTTGATATGACCGGGAGTTTGATGGTCTGTGTTGGTATTTAGTCGAAGGCTTTATTTTTATTTTATTTTTATTTTTTTTTTGGCTGTCTGCCAAACTTTTGTTTTGTTGAACGCTTTATAGTGATAGTAAATTATAGCCTGGTGTTTTTATTAAGGCGATTAGGAAGGGTTGACACTTGGTAAGGTTCTCGCCGCCAAAATTGAACCGACCGGAATTATGTGAGAAGGACCCAAAATCCACCTAGATCTAAACAGTGATATAGAGAATAGTTATCACATACTTAATAATGATTGAGCTATAGAATGGTTACATGAGAGTCCTCTTAGTAATGGTCGTAGGCTCACACGACGAAGACAATGTATTGCCCAAGGCAGAGAGATTTTAATCCATATCTTCAAAAGCCCTCAGCTCATTCTTTCTTATCTATATATAACTGTAGAAACATAACATTAAAAAGCGATTATATTTTCAGTCTGACTATTTAGCATTAATTCCTTCCAAATAAGCCAAGCAAGTGTATACAGCCAGGACAGAATATGACCTGATTGTCCTACCCTCTATTTACAGAAACTACGCATAGACTGACACTAACCATACAGGTTGTACAGATGTAGGCATTATATAGTGCTCCAAAACTGCCAGATCCTGCTTCGGAACCCAACACAGCCTTAAAAGCGTCCCTCTCAACGGAGTCACTAAGCCCCATTCTTTACCCAGTCTGCCCCTTCCTCAATGTGTGGCTGTTATATCATCAATAGAAATGCCTAGTTCTATATAAGCCGCTCCTGCAGACTTCTTAACAAATAGCAGACCTTTGGTACCTCCACCACTGTCTCTTAGAAACCGTGGTTGCAGAAGAAAGAAAGGAAACGTAGGTGGTAACACTGGGATACTATACCATAATACCATCTCAGAAATGGTTTGATAGGCAGACATTTTGAAATAAACAGCATTCCTTGAAGGCAAGCTCTATCCTGAGCGATTCAGCCTGCCATCATACGTACACTTATAAAGAACTAAATAGCAGCCGTGATAGGCGACCGGATACCAAAGAGGATTCAGTAATATAATGGTCTTGAAAACACAGATTACTAACTACCGAATTCATTTTTGCTGGCAGAAACAAACTTGATAAGGGGATGCAGCTTTGTCCGAATATAATTCTGTACTAGTGCAGACGTGGCAAGTAGGATAATAGCAACAATCATGGGTCCTAAAGCATTTCGCAAAATAAAAAGGCCAATGAGGAAAAGGTCCATCGTATATACACCGACAAATAGTTGATTCAGTGCTTCCCAGTATAACAAGCCTGCGGTGTCCTCATTTGCTTCTAGTATGTAAATTGATTGATAGGCATGTGTTATCAGAAAAATTCCGAACGCCATGGTTCCAATCAGTGCTATAAGGGGGGAGATTATAGAATAGATAATACCTAGATATTCTTGTGTCAGTGGGAGCATAAACCTGGGACAGATTTAACACGTACCTATACAGATAAGGTTTGTGAAAACGGGATAGAGTAGGCTCCATCGCACCTCTTTTAAGGTATGCTTTTTTCCACCTCGTCTTAAACACATCCAAAGGCTGTCAGGTAGTCGGAGTAATATCAAAGCAGTTTGTGTGACAGTTTGCAATAAGAAGTAGGAATAGAAGTAATTTCCCGACTTGGGCAAATTCTTGGCCAACAATGCCGGTACCGATTGAACGTTGTTGGCAATCTCAGGGATCATAGTTGTTACGCCAGAAGATATTGAAACTACAATAAAAAGCTGAGTGTAAAGAAATAAAAAGTAATGTCTTTGTAGCAAGACCTCGACAGCTGGACGCTCGAATGCAATATAGTATTTCATCAGAAACTGAAGAACGACCGGAAAACAGTACATAAGGATGGATGCTGCCAATTGAGGAGCCAACCCTTGAATAGCACCTAGTTCTTTGTCTGACAGGTTATGCAAACGCGAGCCAATTGAATCCAAGTAAACAAGCTGTGACAAAAGTCCCGTCAAGGATATTGGGATTGCCCAAAATATGGCCAAAACATTTAGGGTCACGAGGATACTGATACTCCGCAGAGTTCTGGAAAGTTTGCCGTAGTAAAGGACAGGATCCAAGGTTTTTAAGTCAGTATCATGTGCTTCTAGTTCCAATGGTATTGAAGATGCTCTTGCTTGCAGCAGCAGATGAGCTGTGAACAAGTCTGAGAAGTGAAGTAGTGCAATACTCTTAATTCTTTCAATGTCTCTTCGCAGATTGTGAATTTTGCATTCAAGAAGGGCTTTCTCTCGAAAATAAGCTATGAGTTTAGTGCTTGAGGGAACGACCCTTTTCCTAGATATATGTGGGCGTACTCGCATCATTGTATCAAGGTCTCGGAGAAGGGTTCTAAGCTCGAGTTCCTTGCTATCGCAGACTTCCTGCTGCGGCAGGATTACATCCACTGGCCCTCCATTAAAGGCCGAATAGATCTGTCTCAAAGTTTCGCCATTCCACGTTCCCGGTGGGATATTGGTAACCACTATTGTAGCTGCTCTTTGAGCTGAGAAATATTCATGAAAGTAGTTCTGCCTTGCCTTCACAACTAATCTAAATTCCACAAGTAGAAGACGCCAGATATGGATATTGGCCAAGGTTGCAGCGAAAATTGTGATCCACCATCTTATGTGCTGCTCTTTTTGGATGTTTGATATGCTGAATTTATCAAGGCCTCCAACATTTATGTTATTAGCAGTGTAATTCACCGGAAGCAGTATGGGAAGAATAATAACAGCTATCGGCACGAAGAGCCTCACGGCCACCTGTAGTAGGCGCAGAAAGAAGCGACAGTCCAATGAAAGTCTACCGGTGAGTTTCGTATCATCTTTCATAAATTCCCATAATTGCTTAACCCAAAGAGTTCTGCCCTTGGGCAATGGCGAGAGATCAGGATCCGCTAAACATCCTGGTTGGCTGCTGCTTTGTTAATATCTCATATCATCAATCTAACGAGTCTACTTACAAAAGCTTGTGATCAATATCTTTCAGAAACGTGAAGATATACACGACTGGTATGAATATGCTCCCAGAAACAGCCAAAGAGATCAAGAATGACTGAGTAGAAAGACCTTCGTTCTTCTGGGCTTTTCCGGCAGCGTCGTTGACGGTCTCATTCAAAGCCGCAAGATCCATATTTTAATACCAGTATTACGTAGGACCTGGAGGTTGATTATCAGCTACTGGCGCTCTATTTGAACAATATGCCAAGCATTCATATATCTCATTGTTCTTAGTGGCCCTTCTTTGTTGAGGGCCCAAGAAAAGAAAGGTAACAACCGTTACCGGGGCTCTATTTGCAGAGCATTCCTCACCGTTTATTAGGCCGAGTATACAATTTTGCATGTCAGCGTAAAACTGACTTCTGAATGGTGTCCAAAGAGGAGGAGAGGACAAGGACGGTCGGAGATAAATGGGGGGTAATGAGGAATGCATATAAAAGCTCTGTATCAACATCGCAAGAGTGGTATGCAGATAAGAAGTTTAGAGTAAAAAGCATACCCATTGCATACAGCAGCCTTTGAACGAAGTTGCAATCGATACATAATAGTTTATATCTTCAATAATACTTACACATTCAGTGATCATACAACAACTCTACAATGCTGATAAGGGTAGTAATTTACTCCATTTTCGTTTGTCTGGGTGGGTGTCTCATTGTCAATCACGGCGACGTTGATTTTCATTATATCATCCCATATACATCCCAGAGAAGTATTCAGTCTAGGAGCATAGTGAGAACACATCGCCTGCCAGGTCAAACTTTACCAATCACAGTGATCACGCCAACACCGGCTCTCCCGAGAAACAATAGCTCAAGGATTCCTTCCGGGATTTTCAGAGGAAAGCCTGCATTTAGTGGAGCTCCTTATCCCGTTAATAATACTGCAATTACCAAAACTTCCCACAGGTCTGGCTACATGCCCATGCATTCAAGTAAAATAAAAGATAACTTGTCTTGCTGCAGTACCAGTACATATCACAAAGCTCCACTCGCTACCTCGAGTTCGCACAATCAGGGTACCAGCGTATATGGCCTGCCCCTAATACCAACTAGTTCTTCCAACCCAATGGGAAGCACAACAAGAGTGTCAACCACAGCAAGCTTCAACACTTCAATGCTAGCTTCTGATGCAGAGTTCCTAGACTCTCATCCAGCACTGACAACAGCCCTAGCTTGTATTATTATATACCTAAATATATTGTTTCACTGATATAGTTGGTCCAGGGGTCTGTGTACCATTTGCGCTCTTCCGTATTCCTAACTCCGAAATACTAACTGATATTATCTTGCTGCATGGTAGGTACATATGCAATTTGATCAAAAATGATAAACCAGGGCTACGCGAGAATGATCTTTTGTAAAGCAGCAGGTAATCAACCAAGAAAATTTTGTGGAGAAAGAGTATGAGGAGTTGGGACCACCATTTAAGCTACAGGTCAAAAGCCAATTTGGCTATGCTGTTACAAAAACTGTCGTTTTAGAGGGGCCAGACAGGAACTGGTGTTGCAATGCCCAGTGCCCTTCAGATTGATATTGTATTGCACAGGGTATCAATTCTGTGGTAGTTGGGAAGAGGCTGACCTGTTTATGTATTTGCACTTGGATCATTAATCCATTTCTTAAGAGGTTTGGCCGGCTCGTTGAAGATTCGTTGATTATAATATTGCTCTGCTCGAGTATGTTGTACACTACGAGAATGTCGAGATAGTGTAGACCTGTTTCTACCATACTTATAGACAATTCTTGTACTGCATAATTTATCATTTTCCCTGGTAGATAATTATTCATTACAACAATTTATACATGAGGCCCATAGGAATGCTCTGCAAGTGAGGCAGCGTTTATTGCATTAGGGTTGGGGGGAGAAGTCAAAGAGTCTTAACATTTGCACCGTTTTTAAAATCATCTGTACAGACTGGCATTTCGTAGAAATCTTGCAGGTAGCTTGCCCTTGGCGAAATTAAAATATGTGAATATACGTCCGGTAAATTGAGGATATGATGCCATGGTGCCCCACGGGGGCAAGGATGGATAATAGAAGGTAGACGTTATTTTTTCGTCCACCAAGCTCCGAGGAAATCCATCCGAAGGTGTCCTATTGATGGCACTTTTGTAAGCTCGGAAGATGGATCGCGCATCCGAAACCCTGCGTGACGGAAGATTGTAACTAAAGTAGGTTCAACGAAATTGTTCTTCCTAGTGATCGGTCATCGAAAATTAGTGAATGGTCATATAATTGGGTATGGTACGTAACACACTTGGAACTCTCGTGTATCTCCTCAACCCACAGGCTTATTTTCCCCAGGAAATGAATCAAAAGTAAATATACTGGCACCGGCCAGGACCCATGACAATGACCTATGGAAATGAGGGCGGCA